CACAATAATTGCAGAATATGCAGCATACACTTTGAGCATGTTTTTCAAATTTCAAGAAAAACCGTTGATTTGAGGAATTGACGCTGACGTGATGTTCGCAGCAAGTGTCACACACGTCATCTAGCGTGCAAAATTTGTGATCCGCAAGGCAAAAATTGCGGACACGAAAATGTCAGGGAAAAGTGTACAGTGAGGTTTCTGGTCTATTTTCTATTCTGTGCCATAAATCAGCGAACTAAAATTGCATTGTGTGCACCAGGCTTGAAGTTACTGTTGTTAGCGATAGTCAATATTTTTATTCTAATATTTGCATGCTCGCTCCTTGATGACTGAAAGTGTTTGACAGCAGACAAAGTAACATATGACCATATATCGCTTAATGAATCTGTTCCAGCTGGAGCTTTTCCCCAGCATCTAATGTCATAATGAAGTGTTAATAGTGTACATTTTTCTTGTGTAGAGTCCCAAATCTCTTCATATGCAATTCAATAAATAAACTTGATATTCTATCTCTCTGAAAATCACAAAGTTCCGGCCATGGTTTTTTTATTAGTTCTGGCCGGAGCCAGAACTCTGAAAAATCGGGGTTCTGGCCAGAACTAACTGGCAGTAACTAACCAGCCGGAACCGAGTTCCGGTGCACCCCTAAACCTTGTAGCAACTTAATAAAATAACAACATTGTTACAAGCCTGTTGCGAACGCATCTTGTTGACAAATTGTGTGATTTTGTCACGAGATAATTCTAAACTCTTTGCAATGGTTTTCTTCTAGCTGGAACTACACAAGCTACCACTCCAGGTACAACGGGCGGAAAAACAATGAAGCCAACTAGTAAGTTATGGACAGAAACACTCTGTAATATTAAGTTACATATTTCAAAGACTTTGGCCAAGATTTGCTTTTCAATCAAAGTGTGAAATTAAAATTTTCTTGGTAAAATTTATGTCATCTTCCATAAGCAGTAAAGTAGTATATTCAGACAAATTTCCTTTTTAAACAAAATGTGACCCATTAATGTGACCCTACTATTATTTTGCTCTGTCTAGTGCCAGATTATTTTACTTTATTTATTACTGTCTGTTGTATGTATGATTATTTTACTCATCAAGTGGAGAGTGCTGGCACTCTATGGTTTAACAAGACTTTAATAAATTTAATATAAGTTGAAAGTTCTTTTTGCAAGTCTCCACAATAATAATGTAATTCTTAGTTTAATACTGTGTATCTAATGTGGTAAATGCGCCTAGCAGTATTAGACTTAATATGAAATCCGATAGCAAAAACTTTGTTATATTACAGGGTTCGAAATAACGGTTCGTGAATCACTAATCAATTTTCATTTTTCATGAACCCAATTTCATAGAAATTGATCAAAATCACGAATCAAAAGTCTCTCAAATTGATAAAAAATACAATAATAAATTTGTAAATGTGATGAAGAATCATATATTCTGAAGATATTGATGTTAGATTGTACTTAACTCTTTGCGGACCCAGCCCAAATCATTCATCCGCGAGCGGTTGATAGCTTTGTGTTTTCATATCTTCGGTTCAGTGCATGCTATGAAGACAGAAATACCACCATTCGATTCAGAAATAAAAGATTCAACTAATTCCTCACTATAGTTTTAGTCATTATGAACATTGTAACGATTTATGGGCCTTTGAAGTCAAATATGATCATATTGTATCAAATTACGCAATTGTCTGAACAAAAATATAGACTAAGCCATACCTTTCGCCGAAAATAACTTTGGCCCCTTCGAACATATCGTCTTTGCAATAGTCTTGTTCGAATCCCCATCAAAAACGCTATCTACAGTGTTATTTGCACGCCTGTAGCTTCAAATCTGTATCTTTCATCAATATATTTCCATTTCTTGTCCGACTGTGAGCTCGAAGTGAGTTAATCCCAACCGGAAATACGACTGAAAACCATCAAAACAATGCGATGTTTGTATCGTATGACCCTGGAAAGGCCAGAAATGGATTCGGAAGGTCAAATTGCATCTACACGTGTGAGTTTGACATCATCCCGGCCACAGGAGCCTTCTTATTGGCCGATTATTGTGCAATGTACGTGATTGTGACGTGTGAGAGTAAAACCCGACATCTTGAAAAAGTCAAAATAAATATTTCTACTCGCCGTACTCAAACGAAATTTTGTACACGAAAGCGCTTGAATACAAAGAGTATTTTACACATATAGCCGTTCCGCAAATTACAAAAAGTTCAAGAGATATTCAAGATCTTGTGGATATGAAATTTAGAATCTTAGGCCAAGCGGTGAGTAAAGACAGTAAATATATGATTGTTTCGGTTTGTGTTATTTCTGACGGCACTTGACCCCCCGTTCGAAAGGTTATTTGGTAAGGATTACAATGGTGGCTTTTATTTAAAAAGGGGGTAAATACTCGCTGAGATATTTATATTAGAAAAATTGTGTCCTAATGTAATGCGAAACCGCACAGCTTGGAACGGTCGTGAAAGAGTTAAAAACGAGTATAATTCCACCCAAAATTATATTTCTTTGCGAGTTTGCAATGTATATTATATTTTTGAAAATTGCAGTGCTTCCACTTTAAAAAACTTCCAATTAGAGAAAATTCCTTGAAAATTCTTTAAAATTTCCTTAAAATAAAAAAATTGATTCACGAACCATTTTTTCAGAATTAATTCGAACCCTGTATTATTTACCTGTACGTCTTAAGAATGCTTTGTCATTTGTATTTATACGTACACTATTAAAAGCAGTGCGTAATTCAACAGATTCCACTTGCCAGCACTTGGTCTTGGAAATATTATGTATTCATGCTGTATGTCTTAAGAATGCTTTGTCCTTTGTATTTATTTGCGTACTTGCGCAGCGCGTAGTTGAACAGATTCCACTTGGTCTTGAAAATATATATTCTTGGTTATTCTTTAGTGAAGGATGAACTCGACAATCAGTTGGGGAAATACTTACCCTTCAACTATTCAGCCACTTTTTGTGCTGCAAAAAAGGGCTATCTGTATTATGACTTTTTCCAAATTTGATGAGCACTCTAGCCCAATAATTAAATCGTTGAAGATTATAAAGCTGTGTGATCTTGTCACTCTACATATTGCAATATTTATATTTAAATTTCATCGTCAGATGTTACCTCCTGCCTTTAACTTGTTTTTCACGCCAGTGAAAAATGTCCATTAAATTATAATACACGTTCACTGGCTACACAGTCTTACTATCTCCCCAAAATAAGAACAAATTATGGTAAATTCAATGTACGATTTCAAGGACCTATAGTTTGGAATGCAATTGGTATTCATGTTAAGTCTCTTTCATTTAAAAAATTCAAAAAATATTTCAAACAAGTTTTAATTGTACTAGATAAAACATGAGCAGCCGATCTGTATCTGATATACAAACTCGAGCCAAAGGCGAGAGTTTGTATATCAGATACAGATCGGATGCAAATGTTTTATCGTACTTAAAAAATGACCCATCTTGTGAGTTCAATGGCGAAGTAAGTTTAAAAATAAACATTGTCTAAGCCGAGAAAATCAAAGCTAAAGTTTATGTAAATCAGGACAAATCTTTATCCAATTTACAAACATTGATTAAACATTCATTTCTTTTGTATTTTCCTTGTGAATTATTAATGAATTTTTTAAAAGTAATTATTTTGTATAATTAACAAAAAAAAAACCTCCAGTATATGTTTGTATTAATAAATATATGTTGTCTGTCTTTGTGTTTTTAAATTTTTATGTGTGCTTTATGTAATTTAGTAATTAACATTATTGTAAACTGGCTTCCCAGAATCTTTAGCTTAGTGGTTATTTTGGGACGTCGTTGTCCCAAGTATTGTAAAAAATCTCTTATGTATGTATTTTTCTTGCATAATTTTAGCCAAAGATTCTAATGCAACTACCCCCAAAGCAACACCAAAAACTACAAGTGGTGTAGAAAGTTCAAGTGCTATCTTTGGTCTTGTTCTTGCTTTTGCATTTTCTTGGTATGTATATATTACTATCTTGAAACAACTTGAGAATACTATGATTTTTACATCCAGTTCACCACCCTGTACTTTGACCGGTCCCTTAGTGAATGCTAGTCTTTTAACTCATTAAGCGGCAAGCTGTTACAATGTTTCTACCCGCCTAAGGCGCAAGCAATATGGCGAATATGTGATTGAATTCAAGAGCTTTCACCAAAATGGCAATATCTCAGAAACAGTTGCATAAAAAAATCTGATCTTTTCAACCAAACATTAGTGATATATGATTGACCAAATTTAGTTTAAATGACTTTGCATACCTACATATATCATTAGTTTTTTCAATGAGAATTTTTATTTGTAAAGCAGTGACACTTTGTTTTTCATGTCACTCATCACCTAAAGGGGCAATATCTCCATAAATTTATATAAAAACCAAAAAAAAAATTACTTACTAAATTAGTACATATCTATATTATAACCAATTTTCATCTTTTGGGATATGAATTAGAAAACGATCAATGTTTCTACCTGCCTAAGGCGCAAGCAATATGGCGAATATGTGATTGAATTCAAGAGCTTTCACCAAAATGGCAATATCTCAGAAACAGTTGCATAAAAAAATCTGATCTTTTCAACCAAACATTAGTGATATATGATTGACCAAATGTAGTTTAAATGACTTTGCATACCTACATATATCATTAGTTTTTTCAATGAGAATTTTTATTTGTAAAGCAGTGACACTTTGTTTTTCATGTCACTCATCACCTAAAGGGGCAATATCTCCATAAATTTATATAAAAACCAAAAAAAAAATTACTTACTAAATTAGTACATATCTATATTATAACCAATTTTCATCTTTTGGGATATGAATTAGAAAACGATCAAAAATTATAAAAAATACTCATTTGCTTTTTTTGGGCAAGATATTTACAACACGAAATTTAGAACAGTAACTAAGTGTTCAAATTCAACAAAATGTGCAAGCCAAAACACAGTGCTTGTTCATCTTTGGAGTTTTTAATTACCTCAAATATATTTAAAAGGACATACGGTACTAGAATCTATTTGTTTTCAATATAAACCAAGGATGGGAAGGTGAGAAAATAGGAATTTTCTGAGGTGTTTTTAACACAGACAATGACAGCCGACATTTTCAAAGGCAAATTGCGGTGACAAAACCAAAGTTATTCACTTCTCTACTCAAAGCACTGAAAAACACCATAAAGAGAAAAACATTTTAAACATACATCAGGTAAGCCTTTTAGCTCAATTTTCTCATGTTTCTGTTTGGAAAGAAACGGTTTTTAGCCAAAATTATTTTGTGCGCCAATGTAGGCTGCTATAAAATGTCAGACACGCGTTCTCTTCTGAAGTCTGGCTCTGAAAAACAATCGCTTTTTTTAGTTTGAAATAAGCTTTCATAAAGACTAATTGTGTAGAAATGTTATCTGTATGCTCAAATGAAAAAGATAACCTAATAGTCAGGTATTCAACATAGCTATAAAAGGGTGAAATAAGGACTTTCATAGTTTGGTTGTTTGTCAGACATGAGAAACCACATTAGTGCCATTTTGTCGCGCGTGCTATTTTATAAAATAAACACCTCAAAACCATAAACTTTTAGTTCAGAAAATTACAAAGTTTCTCATAGACATTATTAAAAATGTTCTAGTGTAGCGATTTCATGATAAATAAGTGAGCTATGG